GGGAGGCCGTGCCGTATGGGAGTGCTGTGGGGAGGCTGCGCGGTCCGAGGGCTCCAGGGAGGCCGTGCCGTATGGGAGGGCTCCCGGGAGGCCGTGGCGCCCGGCAGAGCCCCGCTCGCGGCTCTGCGGAAGCGCCGCTGCCCTGCGGCAGCCACTGCTCCAGCACCTCCACGCGGCTGCTGGAGCCCCTCAGGGCACAAGACGGGGCCGGCCGCAACCCCGAGCGCCTGGAACGCGACGCATTCCCCTCGCCCGGAGCCAGCCCCGGGTACCCGACTGTCCTGCGGGTGCCGGGCGCTGCCGCAGCGCTGCCCCTGCGGCCTGCGCCGGGACGCAGGGAGCTGCAGGGAGCTGCAGGGAGCAGTTGTCGCCGTCCCTCTCCAGGGCAGCGGCCACGTCACCTCGCGCCAGCTTCAAGGAGCAGCCCAGGGCCTCCCTCCAGCGCGAGCGCCAATCAAATCAAGAAAGACTTAATGTCACCGTCGAAGGGCTTCAACGCCGTGTGCCTGCAGGGAGCCAACTCCGAGGACGTACCCTGCCCTAGGGGACACCCAGCACCCGCTGACCTTGCCTTCCAGCCCTCTCCAGCCCAGCGTGTTCCCTTCCACGGGTCAGTACCGCCACCGCGCGGAGGAGCCGCCAGCTCATCCCACCGCCCAAGGAGCAGCGCCGCACGCACCCGCCTCCCGCTGCCTCGCGTTCACAGCTTTTATTACCGTTAATAAATTTTTTAACCACCCTTGTGGCTACTGCAGGATTTTGGTCTCCCACACGCACCCCGAGCCCCGGGGCTATCAGTCCAGCTCTTTCCCAGCTAATGTTCATTACTGGTGCGGGTTCGGCACAGGCGGTTCAGCGGTAACGGGCGCTTCAGAAATGCTCTGGTTCTCCAAAGGGGTACTCCGAGGGGTACCTCCATGGAGGGGCACCCAAGCTGAGGACTCAGAGGCAGCACCATCTTGTGAACGGCACCACAGGATTTGCAAAGAACAAAGAACTCGGCAGCACGGGTTTATTGAGAAGTTTATTAGGGGCCGCCCCAAGCCCCGAGGGAGGCAGCGGCGCCGGGCCGGAGCAGCGTCCCAAGGAGCTCCGTTCGCCCGCTTTGCTGCGGCCGCGCGCGGAGCAGCATCGCCCGCGACACGCCCGGAACAACGGCCGCTTTGGGGCCCCGAGGCGGCCGCATGCTCTCACCTCCGCCTGCCTTCA